TACTCGGACCCCATCTGGGAGGCTTCTAGCTACAGGATTGGATCGCGGGTCGTTTTCAAAGTGGGGGTATATTGCCTTGGCGCAGCGCGCGCTCGTTTTTCAGCACATGCAGCAGTTAACTACAAGGATGGTGGGCGGTGGCTCTTCAATATGAGGATCTCGCCTTGGTTAGCGCCGCGCGCATTCTTGTTTCCCAGCCCTCCCGTGTTTGGGTTCTCGGTTTGACTGGAGCACGGCGGTCTCCATTTCTCCCGCCTCCCTTTTCCGCCCTGCCTCGTCCTGCGCTGCTCCCTTGGGGGGGCTGCGAGCTGCGCAACCGTCGCCACTCGCCTGGGCTCCTGGGAGGCCCAGCGGAGTAGGGGGAGTACAGTGGTGGCCCATGTCAAGAAACACCCTGCTCGCCTCCAGGGTGCTCTGGGTTTTTTGGTGTTCGATGGTTTAGCCATGGAAAGGGTGACGTTCCCACACCAAAAATCAATGGACGTCCTGGGGTCTCAGGGTTGGGTTTCTTGCGGAAGGTTTCTTGTGGACGGGCCTCCACTGAACGCGCACCCAGCCGAGACCTCGCAGCTCCCCGGGGGGGCTGCGACCTGTACAGCTGTCGCCACTTTCGTGGGCTCTTGGGGGGCCCAGCGGAGCGGGGGTCAGCACGCACATCCAGCCCAGACATTGCGCTTCCCTCGGGAGCAGCGGCCTGCGCAACTGTTGAGGGCCCAGCGGAGTGGGGGATAGCGCACATCCAGCTGAGACCTCGCGGCTCACTGGGGGGCTACGCAGTGCGCAATTGTCGTCACTTTGGTGGGCTCCTGGGAGGCCCATCGGAGTTGGGGCGTAGGCAGGCCCAGCCGACACCTCGCGGCTCCCTGGGGGGCTGCGAAGTGCAACATTGTTGCCACCGTCGTAGGGTCCTGGGATGTCCAGCGGAGCAGATTGTCCTCGCGCCGTGTTCTCTTGTATGGAGCGTCCACTTAAATAGTCGACTCGCGTGGAGAAGGGGTTAGTTACCTGTCGGATAGTTTTAAAAGGGCACTCGCCCTAACGCCGCGCATATCCGTTTGTAAAAAGGGTGCGCCAGCTACAGATATGGACGTCTGCTCGTTTTCAACATGGGGCTTTTGTAACACGTGCAACAGTTTCGCTTAAGGAGGGTGAGCCATGTTTAAACTTTGGGCTTTCGCTTGAAGCGTCCTCGATGCTCACGGCCAGAAGTGTAAACTTGTGAAACAGTTACAAGGGTGAGGGGGGCGGCTGCTTTTCAAACTGAAGGTCTCGCCCTAGAGCCGCGCGCTATTCTCCAAACTCAAGAAACATGCAACGGGTACAAGGACGGAAGGTGATCCTTGTCAAAATGGGGTTCTCGCTCCTCAACGCCGCGCACATCCGTTTTTCAAGGATGCAACAGTTGCAGACATGGACGATTGCTCTTTTTGGGAATCCTGCACGCTTCGCGTACCCCCAGCAGCCCATTCAGAGCCCACCTGGTCATGAGAGCTGGCGGGAAAAGGCACGACGAGACACATATAGTGAAACAAAGCGGGCAACCAGGATGAACAGAGATACCTCTGTGAGCAAGGGGTTGGCCTTGGAGGGCCTCTTCGACAATACAAAGTGCTTGCGGGGCCCACGAGCATGACCCATGATTTTGCCCCCAAGTGTGCTTAATCTTGTTTTTGACAAGGGATGGGGGGGGGGGTCCGCCTTGGTCCTGGTTGACTGCCGGCCGCCTGGGGGAGGGGGTGCTTATGACTCGGGGATAGTGATCAACCCTTCCCGACGGGGAAGAAAGGGGGTTGGAAGAAGACGTTCCCAAAACCGCGTGCTTATGACTCGGGGATAGTGATCAACCCTTCCCGACGGGGAAGAAAGGGGGTTGGAAGAAGACGTTCCCTAAACCGCTCACGCCCTCATGATTTGTTGTGGCCCGTGGCTCCGGCATTGCCAGCCAGTGGGTCTGGCCGTGTCCATGCCTCCGACTGCACGCCACGACGGCCCACGAGTCCCGACGGTGCGCGCACCCGAGTCAACCCGCCCGGTCCAGAAGCGGCGCCCCGAGGAGTTGCCTCGAGCAGAGGCGTGGGGTCAGTGATCTCAGGCCCTCCCGGGGCCAGTTTGGGCGCCCTCTGGGGCTCTCGGGCTCCTCTTGGGGGCATCCCTCGAGGCCTCGAGGGGCCTCTTGGTGCCACCTGGAGGCCATCGATCCACGACGGGGGCACCGCCTGTGTCTCAGAGCGTGAATTACCTCCCCCGCTTTCGCTTCCAGGCAAAACCAAGTCATACCACGCGCCTCCACGTCAAGCGGCCTGGCCAGGGCAGGCCGTAGTTTGGCATCGTTTGGTATCTCTTGGAAGCGAGGGCGGTCAAAAGCGAGGGAGGTTTGTTTTCCCCCTAGTGTCGGCCGTTTTCCCTTTCGGAGAGGCCAACGCGTGGCCTCCTGGGGCCGTCCTGGGCCTCTCTTGGGGGTGCTCGTGGGCCGCTCGTGGGGGCTCTCGGGGGCCGCCTCGGGCTCCCTCGGGCCCTCTCGGGGCCCTCCCGGGCGGGGCCCTCCTCCGTGGCGAGGCCGTCGGGGGGCCCAGGCCTCGCGGGCCCCCTCGGGGGCGAGGAGACGAGAAGACGGGGCGACGCGGAATCACCAGCCTCGAACTTATATCCCTATCCCTAAGATTGACACGCTAAAAGGAGATGACAATCTTAGGGATACGCCCCCAGAAACCGAGGAAACCCCTAAGATCGCCATCGTGATGAGGCGATGCCCGACATAGGGATAGGGATATGTTCCAGGCTGGTAACGGAAGGAGAAATCGGAAGGAGAAGACAGGCGGAGGCGGAAGGAATCGGCAAGCCGAGGAGAGATTGGAGGCGAAAAGACGAGATGTCTCAGTGGGTTTTGGGAGGACGTCGGCCCCCCGGGGGGGGGGGGGTTCGGGAGGTCATCTGGAACGGTATCGGTGCGGCCACGGGGCCTCCTCGAAGGCATGTTGGGAGCTGTCTTGAGCTATCTTGCGTTGTACCGTGTAATGTTGGAGGCCGTCTTGGCCTATCATTGAAACGATCTGGAGCTGCGATGATGCGAGTATGCAGTAAACGACTGTGACGCCATCCTATCGCGATCTTATTCGAAATAAGGTTCCCGGCGTTGCGTTGATACTTGTGGTGTTTTGTTGAAGAATGTGTTGGTGATTCTCGTGTATATGTTGAAGAATGTGTTTGTGCTTATCGTGCGTGTGTGTGTGTGTGTGTGTGTGTTTGTTTTGAAGATCGTGTTGGTAAGTATCGTGCGTTTGGTGAAGATTGTGTTGGTGATTACCGTTCGTATGTTTACGATTATGGTGGTGATCATGTATCTGATGCCGCGGATTATGTGTGCGATTCTGGTGGTTGCTGCATATGTATGTTGAAGAGTTTGTTCATTTAATTGCGCAACCATGCGATGACTGCAGGGTGGGGAACGGAGATGAGTGAGGGAAGGAGATGGAGGCCTGGATTGGAAGGAGGGAGGGAGAGGAGGAGGGGTAAAGGAGGAGGAGGAGGAGGTGTCCCTTTCTCTTCTTATTCGTTCTGCTCATGTCCTCCTTGGCTTCTCTTCCTCCCCCCAAGATCGCCGACGTCGTGTTTTTTTTTCACCGTGGACCTCCAGAGGTCTGGACACCTTTCCCAGGACCTGTTTTTCATCCCGAGTTGTTTTTTGACAGGCCCATAGCCCGGCGAGGGCCCCCAGCGGCCGAAAACGGCCAAGAGCTTGCCGTCGCGATATGTTCACGACGCGAGCATGTCCTCCTTTGCTCCTTTGGCTCCGCCGAGCATGCACCTCCGAAACCGTCGAGGACCTCCGAAGATCGCTGAATGCGCCGAAGACCGCCGGACACCGCCGAAGACTGCCCAAGACCGCCGACGACTGTCAGAGGACCGCCGAATATCACCGAAGACGGCCGACGACCGCTCAAGGCCGATGAGCAACAAGGGATCCATGCTCGAATGTGTACAGTGGAGACTCATGTCAAGAACCCCCCTGCTTGCCTCCAGGGGGCCCTGGGCTTCTTGGGTTTCGATGGTTTTGCCGTGGGAAGCGTGACGTTCCCACACCAAGAATCCATGGACGTCCTTGGGCCTCAGGGCGGGGCTTCTTGTGGAAGGCCTCTTGTGGACTGGCCTCCACTGTAGCTTCTGCCTCGGCCCAGCAGGCCGCTCCCCCCCGACGCCCTCGCGCCCGCCCGCCGGCCATGGCGTTGTCCGTCCTGCGCAGCGGCCGCAGGGCCCCCGCCGGCGTGCTCCGCCTGGCGCCGGGCAGGCGCGCGACGGCGAGCTACCGCGAGCTCAGCCGCACGGAGGTCCGCGGACCCCAGACGCGCAGAGAAGGAAAAGTCCCCATACCTCTACCCTCCGCCCGTGTTCCCCTTTTTCGGCCTCCTGGGAGGTCCTCGGCACCACCGCCGGAGTCGGCTCGCAATCCTGGTCAGAGCGTACCCCGGGAGAGCTCCGGGGAGCGGCGGCATCGGTACATTCTGGTTGCCCCAGAACTTGGCAGTGAGGAGGAGGAGGAGGAGGAGGGAGGAGGAGGAGGAGGAGGAGGAGGAGGAGGAGGAGGAGGAGGAGGAGGAGGAGGAGGAGGAGGAGGAGGAGGAGGAGGAGTGTAAGCTCAAGGCGCATCAACGGTATCGGTACCTTTTGGTTGCCCCAGACGTGCTCGCGTCGCTGAGGAGTCTTCGGCGGGCTTCGGCCTGCGGCAGCCTCCGGCAGTCCTCTGGCGGTCCTTCGGCGGGCTTCGGCGGCGGTCTCCGGCGGTTTCGGAGGGGCCTGCTCTCACCGAGCGCGTTCCGCTACTCGCCAGGTGCCCACTCGCAAACGTCCGAAAAGGCACCTGCCTACCTCGATGCCATGTATCGTGGATCCCACGATGGCGGATCCAGGCCGTTTGCGAGCAGCTACTCTGCGAGTAGTGTTAAGTCGGGCATGTCCCTCGACAGGAGGAACATTCAAACATAATCAGAAAATAGTCAGGGGACGATTTCTCGATTATTTTTTTGACTGCTGTTGTATATTTTCGATTATTTGTCATTTTTGTCCGAAAGGGGCCTGTAGGGGGACGTGCCCGACCTAAGAGTAGCGGAGCGCGCTTGTTGTGCTCGGCGGAGCCAGAGGGCTGCGAGGAGTTGAGGACAGGGCCGAGGCTCAGAGACCGCCTTCCTCTGCATGGCCGCCAAGACGGGGACGTCCGGGCGGCCAAACGCCTCGCCGGTGGAGCAGACTAAGGTGTGCAGCATCCAACCATTCGCTTGTGCCCAAAGCTTCGGCTCGACGCCAGGTGTGGCGCATCAACTTTTCAGCTTGACCGAACATGTTGGTTGCGCCCCTTGTCACCACCCACCAAACCACCCCAACCCAACCCGAAGGCTTGGATTTCCCCTCGATTTCCAGTGGGGGGGGGGGTCGGGAAACATCGAAAAAACACATGTGGAACCCTTACCCCCCCCCAACCCGAAATTCGGGCCTTCGGGTTGGGTTGGGGTGGTCTGGTAGGTAGCCACCTTGGCGTCCCCCTTGGGGTGTCCTGCAGGCCCGACCCCCCCCCGCCCAGGCTCAAAAGCGAGGAGGAGGTGGGGCAGAGGAGGGCGCGCTCGGCTCGTGAGCCCCTCGCGGCGGCAGTCCCTCGTTCCAGAGGCGACGAGAAGGGGCGAATGGCTCAGGGGAGAGCAATCCTCCAGATTTCGTAATAAAAGGGAGGAGGTCTGGACCCTCCAAGACACGCCATTTCAGCCCCCCCCCCGTGGGAGAACCCTCCAAAACATCGTCCCCAGACCCCCCCCCAGGCCCTCCAAGATAGCCTGGAAGAGACCCCTCCCCGAAATGAGACCCCCTCCCTTTTATATTACGAAATCTGGAGTATTCAGGCGCGCCGATGATCACGTCTTCGAACAGGCTCCTGGGCGAATGCGTGTCTTGCCCCCCCCCCTGGGCGATCTGCCCTTCTCGCCGCCGCGGACTTGTGGCCGTGGCTCGGCCTCTTCGGGGGCCCCTCGCCGGGGGGGGGGCCTTGCGGGCCCGTGCGCAAGAGAGCGGCTCGGGCCGAGGAGCTGGCCCGGGCTTTCTGGGGCCCCAGGCACGGCGGAGGCCCATGCCAAGAGACACCCTGCTCGCCTCCGGGGTGCCCTGGGTTTCTTGGGTTTCGATGGGTTTGCCATGGAGAGCGCGGCGTCCCCACACCAGAAACCCATCGACGTCCTGGGGGGGTCTCAGGGTCGGGCTTCTTGTGGCAGGTCTTTTGTGGGCGGGCCCCTGCTGTATGGAAAGATGTCAGGGCATCGGACGTCTTGGGGGAGAGGGCCACGAGGACGGCCTCGGCCTCGGCCCGAGGATCGGCGGTCTTCGAAGTGCTGGAGCGTCCGCGGAGGCTTTTCCGGGCCCCGGGGTGCTTTCCATCAGCTGCGCTTCGTCGCGCAAGCCATCAGGCCCTTCGGAGGAGGGCCAGTCGAGACAACGGGGGCCCTCCCTTCGGCGGCCAGCGAGGGGGGGAAGCGAGAGGGAGAAGGCCTCCTCGGAGGGTTCGGAAGCCCCCCGCGGCCCGGTGAGAAGCTCTCTATACTGGGCCTTCCCGGGCCCGGGGACAGAACCAGCTCCTCAGCAGGCGCGAGGGTTTCTGAGAAGTCCCGCCGCCTCCTCCGCAGGCCTCCCCCCTCTCTCACTTCCCCCCCCCCCCCTCGCTCGCTGCCGCCCCCTGGCGCTGTGCCTCCTCCGTGGGCCTCCCCAGAGGCCTCTCGCCGCCGCGGCCCCGGGCGGAGCGCGCGGGCCGGGCAGAGGACCCCCGGGAGGGGCCCGCGGGGGGTCCTGCCTCGGCGGCTGCTTGGAGGGTGCGGCTGCGCCAGGGTGTGGTTTGCGATCGGCGGTGGCCCGCGCGGGGGGGGCCCGCTGGGGTCTCGAGCTCGGCCCTCCTCCGGCGAGTTCGGCAGCAGAGCACGGGAGCCCCGTGTCTCACCGGGCGCGCTCCACGGCTCGCAGAGCGCCTGCTCGCAGACGCCCGAAGCATACATGTCTGCTCGGATGGAATGTATCGCAGATCCCCCGCGGCGGATCCAGACCATTTGCGAGTAGTCACTTTGCGGGTAGTGGAACGCGCTCGTCAAGTGTCGAAGAAACGCCACAAACGTAAAGTCTTGGCGCTCCGCTCGGACTTCTTGGATCCGCGCTGGGCCCCCCCGGCGGCGCCTCCGGCGCCGCCTCTGGCGCGCTACGCGCGCCAGGGAGGGGGGCACAGCGCAGATCGAAGAAGTCCGCGCGGGGCGCCAAGAGTTATTGTTTCTGCAGTTTTTCTGGTTCTTTTGTGTGCAGTGGAGGCCCATGCCAAGAAGCACCCTGGTTGCCCCCAGGGTGCCCTTGGCTTCTTGGGTCTCGGTGGCTTTGCTGTGGAGAGCGCGACGTTCCCACACCAAGAAGCGATGGATGTCTTGGGGTCTCAGGGTTGGGTTTCTGGTGGAAGGTTTCTTGCGGACTGGCCTCCACTGTAGCAAATCATGGGAGCCATGTGTGCCCTCGCAAGTCTGTTTTTAGCGTCGAGCAGCGTCGATCAGCGTCTGGGAGTGGATGAGTTAGCACCGATTTAGCGTCGGACAAGCGTCGATCAGCGTCGATGAACGTCGATGAGCGTCGATTTGGTGTCGATTAGCGTAGATTCGCAAGAGCCGACAAGTTGGTATGGGAGGCTCCCATGACTTGCCACCGACGACGAGGGCATCGCCGGGTTTCCGCACGTGAACGCCCGCTTCAAGCAGGACCCGCCTCGGAAGCTGCAGGCGCCGACGGAGGACAATGCCTGCGGGACGCCGTCGAGAAGGCACTTTGACGGCAGCACCTGGTCGGAGGCGGAGGTCCGCAAGGCGGCAGTGGACCACTGCATGCTCACCTGGTCGGGCTCCGCGCCACTGGAGACCATGCCTATCATCGAGAGAGCTGAGGGCGTTTACCTTTACGATACCGCGGGAAAGAAATACCTCGACTGGACCAGCGAGGCTGTCTGCGTGAACCTGGGCCACACCGTTCCTGAGGGCGTCAAGAAGGCAATGATTGACCAACTGGAGACGATGCCTTTCGTCTACGGGGGGATCGGCTTCGCTCCAGTCCGGGCAAAGCTCGCTTCGCTTTTGGCTGAGCTCGCACCTGGGGACTTGAACGGTTTCCTCTTCCCGTCGAGTGGTGGGGAGGCCAACGATTGTGCGATTCGCCTAGCTCGCCTCTATACAGGGAAGACGAAAATCTTCAACCAGTACAGGTCCTACCACGGTGGAACTGTAGGGCCACTCAGCGCGACAGGCGATTTCCGCCGAAAGTTCGGCGGAGAACATGCGACCGGCTTTGTGAAGATGTTCAACCCGGAGCCACATTTCTTCCGCTGGGGTGACACAGATGAGGTAGCCTGCTCCCAGGCGCTGGCCTGCCTCGAGGAGCAGATCGTCGCCGAGGGTCCATCCACGATCGCCGCCATCATGCTCGAGAGCGTCCCGGGCTCCGCTGGGGTGCTCATCCCGGCCGTCGGCTACATGGAGGGCGTCCGCGCGCTGTGCAACAAGTACGACATCCTCATGATAGCCGACGAGGTGATGACCGGCTTCGGCCGCTGCGGCGAGCTCTTCGCCTTCCAGCACTTCGACGGCGTGATCCCCGACATCTTCACCAGCGCCAAGGGCCTGACCGGCTCTTGGCAGCCGCTGTCGCTGGTCGGCATGCGGCAGCCGATCAAGGACTTCTTCTGGAGCAACCCGACGGGCTGGGGCTCGACGTTCCAGGCGCACCCCGTGGCCCTCGCCTGCGGCTACGCCTCCCTGAAGCACTTCGTCGAGACCGACGTGCTCGGCCACATCAACCGGAGCATCCAGCCCGTGATGATCTCGGAGCTCAACCGCCTCGTGGACAAGTACGCCTGCGTCCGGCAGGCGCGCGCCCTGGGCGCCTTTGGCTGCCTCGACCTGCAGGACCCGAAGACGGGCGAGAGGCCCATGCAGGTGGGCGATCCGATGCCGCCCCCCATTGCGAATTTCAAGAGGGCGTTCAACGACGAGGGCCTCATCGGCTTCGTGCGACCGCCGCAGCTGCACTGCGCTCCGCCCCTCGTCATCACGGAGGCGGAGCTGCGTGACGGCTTTGCCCGCCTCGACCGCGCGCTCGCGGTCCTCGAGGCCGAGCTGAAGTAGGTGCCGGTGCCGTCTGAGGTCTCACTTGCTGCACTTTTCCAGACCCGTGCCACAGTTGGACATAAGCTCACACGGCTGCGCAGCAATGAGCACTTGGCAGCTACGATTCCTGGTTGGGGGCAAGGGCTTCCCGTCAGATCAGGTTCTTCTCGTGGTCTCTCGTGATGCAGCATCGTTTCCTGCTAGAGCCACGCGATTTGCAGCAGATCGATCAGCTAAGACGTTCTATCACCGTAAGGACCCAGCTGAAAATAAACGCCATGATGAATCAGACTTGCGACGCTATATGTCTATGTCGCGACCTGCGAAGGTATCTTGCGCTGCGTCTTGCTACGATGAATCCTGTACAATGACAGTGCGTAAGATAAGCTAAGACCCCCCGTGGCAAACGATGACGTAGCGTTTCAAGGCGTGCGTTCTTCCGCAAAGCATCCGGCGGTGCTGCCTCCTCGAGTCTGCGCTTCGCCTTGCTGATGTTCGGGCCGATGCCAGTCTCTGGCCATGCCGTGCCAGTGCCAGCCGACGCTCTCGCGCGCGCCTCGTTGCCCGTGCGCGGGGACGCCCAGACTTCTCCCTGGATGACGCGAGCCCGGTGGCGATCCTGGGCGACGGGCACGAGGACCCGCTCCGGGTCTCTCTCTCCACAGCGCTGCACCTCAGAGGAGAAGCGCACGCGTGCCGATGCACTGTGCACCACCATCTCGTCTTCGCTCGTCGCTGCGGCCGGATTCGCCTCGGAAGCGTGGTCAGGGCGCGAACTTGGGCGAGGTTCGGGGAGTAGCGGTATCGGCCTCGTCCCCTCCCCCCCGCAGTTGCCGAGGCATTCCGAGCCGTCGAGCCACGAAGCAATTCTTCCTCTTCCCTTCGCCACCTTGCCTCCTGTCTCATGTCTCATCCCTCGTCGTTTCGAGCTGCGATTGCTTCGCGCTGCGAGGAAGGCCAGAGGCGTCCGAGCGCGGTGAACAGCAAGCCGCACACCAAGAAAAGTTGTGACGCGGCTGAGATATGGCGGCTGCGCACAAAGAGAACGGGTCACATATAGGGAAGCACATGCAGGAATGCGCGCCCAAGGGGCCAATAAGCACGCCAACCTTGATGTAAAGCTCGCGCGAGGCGCGGCCAGTAGACACGGGTGAAACCGCAAGGACGGTTTTGAAGTAAGTGCGACTCACCCCGATTTCCTGATTCAGATCTTCCGTGGAATATTCGTGATGTCAGTGATGCGCGTATCGGCCTTGTTAGCTGGAGATGCCTTGTGACGGCAGACGGTGTCATTGGGACGGCCCGCAGTGCCTCAGCTCAAATCTGGATTTTCTCTTGACTAGCTGTGCGCTTGGCTCGCTTGGCTCGCTTGTTACTTTATTGCGCGATTGGGATTTACCTCCTGAGGGGCAGCCTTTTTTTACTGTTACGAAAACAAGCAACCGTTCTTTCCCAGGCCGAGGAAAGGCCAAGAGATCTGACGGTGCGGCCCACCGTTCATTTGTGCGTCCCAGCTGGAGAAGAGCCCGCGGTTTGTGCCTATTCCCCGACAGGCAAGGTGATCCTTGGCCCCCGTCCGCTCACTCGCGCTGGGGTTCCTCCGGCAAGGGTCACACGATCATCAAGACTGTAGTCAATCACCCGATTTGCCTACAGCCCTGGGAGATTGGCGTCCGTCGTGATTTCCCCCCCGCCAGTCGTGAGCCGATCTTCTACTTGGATCAGACCCGTGCGACATTGATATTAGTCATGGGTGAGAGCCAGGTAGGTAGCAATGGATTGGGTGGTCAGGTGCATGGGCTGTTCTTCCCGCGTCACCCCGTGATCTCGGCGAATGTTACGGTCTCGGAGTCGGGGCTTCTCTTGTTCTCACAATGAGTGCTTGGGGCCTAGCTGCGCTCGGCAAGATCCGGCACGTAGGATGCGCAGAGGCATCCTTTAGTCAAGCTCGTCCCTGTGCCTGAGGGGGCGAGTTGCCCGGGGGTCGATTAAACGTACAAGTGACCTTTCCCCGCAGTGATCAACTGTGCGGGCCCAATGGGGTCCCCGGATCGCTGAGCGTGAAGCGGCAGCAGCGGCTTGCGCGCCCAGGTTTGGCGTCCCCGCGCCTTCCGTTCAGCCGCGCACCAGAGGTTACTCTTACCCAGGGTCACCCCTACGTGTAGCCGAGGGGGGTCTGCTTCCTGGGCTCCCGCCAGCCTCGTGCCCCGGCAGTTTTGCGTCGAGCTCTCCCTCGGGGCCAGGCCCCGCTGGGGTTAGCGGGTCGCCTGGGCATGTCCTGTCGGACATGCCGCTGCTACGCAAGAACGTTTCGCCAGCCGACCTTCCTTCAATGATCGATTCGTCCGGGGGCCGCTTCCCCCGGGCTCTCGGGAGCGAGCGGGGCGTTTTCTCCGCCCCCATTTGTCTCTTTGCGCACTTGGAATGAGCGCTCGCTCTTCTCGTCTAATTCGACTGCCCGTCTTGCTGCCAGCCAGCGATGCAGGCAGACGCCCCGCCCGGCCTTGAAGGTTTTACGTTTTCGCGACATTCACTCGGGAGCCTTGTAAAGCCGGGTCTTACCCACCATTGGCGTGCAAACCCCAAGAAGAGATGATCTGACCGCGCGCGGCACGCGCTGCAATTTGGCAATGGCTCAGGCAATCCCCTCCAACGGCGTTGCACATAATGTGGCAGCGGTGTAGCGCGCGCGACGCGAACAATATGGCAAGGTCATCCGTATTGTTTGGGCGGATGCGTGACTGCCCAGGGCCTCCTTGAAGGGGCGCGCGCGTTTGATCATTCTTGTCTTGCGCCACCGATGGGTGCGGCGGTTGCTGCGGGCTGCTGGGGGCAGCGCCCTGGGGCTCCCGCAGCGCCCCGATCCGAACCGACGACGGCACTGTTGTAGGTCCAGGGTGCGTGGGCCAAAACACAATGGGAAACGCTTCCCCCGGCCCGTCGTGGTCCTGGTTTCGAAGAGAGCAATGCCCCTTGACCGTCGACAACGCAATGCTGCCGTTGGTAAACGATCCGACGGGCGTGCCGCCGTGGGTCGGCGCCCAATGTGGTCCAGACGTCCCCAAGAGCCCCTCCTGGGCCGTTCATGGAGACCCAGGAGAACTCCACGAGGACTTGCAGAGGGCCCCGCCATGCATCCACAGCCCCAATCGGACCCCACTACTTCTTCAGAAGGGCCCCAAGAGAGCCCCCAGAGGCTCCGACAGGACCCCGGACGCACGCGACACGAGTGATTCGGTACAGAACAAGTTCAACATTGCGTGGCTCAGGACATGCAATCATGCGACAGCCTGCTTTCCTGGCGCAGCACCAAAGCAATTTTCTCGGCCAGCCCCACATGGCCCGTGGCCCCATCATTTCGCGCGCCCCGACTTACGGGAGTGTCGCAGACGCGGAGTTGCTTCGCCGGGATGACAGGTGTCGGAGTTCGGCCATGCATGGCCCGTGATTCCCCGCACGTTTCGCTGCCTCTGCAGGGCTTCTCACGCCGTCCATGATGGCTGCCATTCTCTCCGCGAAATCAGAGCCATGCTTCAAGAACAGATGCTGGAATAGCAACATCCGACTGGTCAGAGACACTCGCACCGACCAGGCTTGCCCTCGATCGGCTTAAGTCGGGCCTGTCCCTGTACAGGGGTAATCTTCAAACATAGTTTAAACAATTGCCTGGGGACGATTTCTGTATCTATTATTTGACATGTTTGGTTATTATTTGTCAATTTTTATTTTTCGTCCAAAATCCGCCTGTAGGGGGACACGCCCGACCAAACGATCGGCGTCTCGTTCCATTGGGGGAACTTGCACGATCTTTCCCCAGCAGAGACTCATCGCCCCCATCAAACCGATACATCCCCCGACGAATAGTCGACTCGAGCTCCAAGCGAAAAGGGACCGCAGAAGACGCCAGCTCAAGCGATGCTGAACTTCCTGGCGAGGGCCTCGATCGAACATGTCCAACGCATGCTGCCCGTACTCCTCGAAAACCTGACCGTCCCAATGGCCCAGGGAACACAAGAACCATGGACGCCGAGTGAGGTAGTTCATTTCTTCGAGAAGGAGTGCATTCATCTCGATGCGCGCATTCTGCAACATAGTCGTCACGAACTGTCTATCGCTGAAGGCTAGGTCGACCCCCAGAACTTCCCCGCCGCTGCCAACGCCCCAACTTCGAGATCCGTCCAAAGACCCGCCAGCGACTCGTGGAACCCTCCGGCGGCAAGTTCTGGGAGCCGACGCCCGCCGCACGGGCAGGAAGAGTGCAACCCTTCGGAGTGGTCATTGAATATCCTCCTCTTGAAATTATCGCTCAAGCCTGACATCAACTTTGAGTGGCACGCGCAAGACGAATCCCAACCCGCGAACTCCTCAGTGGCCTTCTCGCTCGTTTCGCACGCCGCAGCGCACGCAAAGAACTTGGGCGACCTCAGCGATCGAGTGATCGAGCTGGCATCAAAACCGTGGCGAGATCTCGGGCCTGCATCGGAGTCCCCGCCACCTCCACGGGAGCCCTCGCCACCCTGGGTCGCCGCGCCACTGGCAGCAGTTTTATTTTCTGCTCAGGCAGTGTGACATGTTGGAAAGCATCCTCGTTCCAAGCCAGCCGGAGCAACACTAGAATGGGTTTCAATCCTTCGATGAATTGCATCACGCAACGAAAGCGCTCCTCATACAAAGAGGATGAAAAACGGTCTAAACAATCTTCTGGCTCTCCCCTCGTATTTGCCATCTCTGAAGCATGCGACCAAGGTGCGCCGCTTGAGGTCTCTGCCTGAAACAATTATTTCAAAGTGGTTTAGATAGTCGAAAAGTCGCTTCCACTCTGGCAGAGATGTCTGTATATAATATGACAGATTGTGCATTGTGTGCTCGGAGCCAGAAGCCACAAGACCGCCAGGTAAGAAATAGTTCTGCTGCTGGGCCACGACCTGCTGCTCCTGCTCCTGGCCAACTGATGCGGGCACCTGGTGTATAAACGGAAACTCAGACTCACCGTTGTCACCGCCGCCGCCGCAATCACGATGGATGTCCAGGGCAGCGGCCTCACGGGGGAAGCCGCCATCTGCCATCTGAAACAGGCGCCGCTGCCACGGCCCAGTCCGACTTACAGAGACGACTGGTGTCAATACCGAAATCGCACATGCCAATCTCCGCCCCCATGTCAGTCGTGTTGCCCGCAAGGCGGGCTCGAAACTCCCTGCGCTGGGGATGCAAATGGCCCGGGGGCTCCCCCCTCCTAGCCTTCTAGCCTAGCTGAGCAACTGAGGCCCCAAGTGCAAGCGGGGCCGCCTGAGTCCCAGGGCG